AACAATCTCACGGATGAAAGCATACAGCAAATCGTTCAATTGGCGATGCCAGCTATTTGTGTGTGAGTTTTTCTTCGCATTTCCATTTACCCTTTTATACACTTGATATCCAGTTTTCTTAGCATAAAAATTGAAAAAAAGGGTGCTTCCGATTGATTCTTAGTTGTCATTTTTTTCTAAATTGTTGATATGAGCAGGATTAACTTTACCAACAATAATATCTGAATATTTTACATGTTTTTGACTAGCACTATAGTCCTTTAAAATTGCAACGATCGTACAGTCAATTTTTCTTTGCTTTGATGCAAATGAGAGTCAAATTTACTCAAATGTTTAGAGGGGGTAAGTCGTCAGAAATGTCAAAATCCAGCACACAACATCTCTCCCATTCCGAAACTAGGGTATGTTTATGCAAGCTTTGTAGCACGCGAGCTCCCTCTTTTTTGTCTTCATTTCCTGCCTTTCAATCGGATGGAAGCAAATTTAGAGCTTGAATCATGACACAAGGTTTGCAAAATTTGAATGTGTTGACGAGGATGTTCCGCCATCCGTTTCTCAACATGCGAATGAACATCCATCTGAACAACTCCCTCCACGAAACGCTTCAATTCGTTATGTCAAGAATGGGAGGTGGAAGGTATGTTGCATATAATTCGTATTTCTCAGACTTTCTGCCTGTGCGTTGTGTTCTTAACTTACGCGGTTTGCATTGTCCTCTCTTCTTTTTTATTATGTGTTATCTAAGCTTCAAGCACTGCCTTTCTTCTTCATGCTGTTAATGCTTCAATTTGAAGTTTCTCAAACTATCTTCTTTAAACATTGCTACTTTCAGTTTTATCGCAGTTACGCTGCGCTTCCTTTTTTACAATCATTCGCATCCGCACATCAATTAGTTTTTGGAAGACTCTCTTTTTGCAATAAGTGGATAATTTAACGTCAAGTGCGGTTGTGTATGAATTGTTTCTCAATTTTATAATGTCGTCAACCTATAAAGTTGGTTACTCATCATCAGATGAAGTTGATTTGCCCTTTTTTTATGAGCGATAATGCCTTGAATATCCTAAGTTAAGGTGCAATATGATGATGGTCGGTTCGAATGGGTGGGAGAAGACAATCCCGGTGTTTGCGAAGTAAAGCCAGCTCAGCATTCGGATCACTCCAGGTACCATTTTTCCAACTATCTGATTCAACATATACTAATTCCTGCACTTCTGTACTGTTACAGCTACCATGCTGGCAATCCGCCCGATCATGCTGATTCATCTTCTTTGATACGATCACCCCGCTTGAAGCGATC